CTGCTGGCCGTCATGACCGCGATGGGCAACGCCCTGGCCAACAGCGTCTGGGAAGGGGCCCTGGATGGCTATGCCAAGCCCGGGCCTGACGCCTGCAGGTGAGTGGACGGGGGCACGGGGAGCTGGCAGAAAGGGCGGGGGCGTTGGCGCCCCAGATTGGGGAAACGGGGGGTGGCGCGGAGTGGTGACAGTCGTGCTCTAAGGGTTAAAAGTGGCCGTTGCTCTGCTTGGCAGTTGGCCCCTTGGGGTGCCCCTCCCCCTCCCCGCCTGTCACTCAGGCTCCTCACAACAAGAGGCCCTTTCTGAGCCTTATCAGCAGGTCAGGGGCCAGCGGGAGGCGCATGCGCAGGGCCCTATCGCTGGTGGCGTGAAGGCCCGAGCCCGAGCCCGGAGATGGGGAGAATGGGTGGGAGATAGGCTGGTGCGTGGGCCCCGTGGAGGCCCCCCACCCGCTTTGTTCCAGCAGGGCCAGATAAGCCACCAGGGGAGCCCTGCCCGGAATCCTGCTGCCCTCTCAGCCCCCGAGGGGCCTCCCTTCAGTGTTCCTTCTTTTCAGCGGTTTCCACCCGCACTGCACTCCCCCTGCGTGCCGTCCCTGTCTCGGGCCTGTCTCTTCACTGCTCTGTCCTATGCTTCCTCTGTTCCTTCCGATTCCCCTCCGGGGTGTCGTGTCAGTCCCCGAGCACCCTCCCCAGCCCCCACCCGTTGGCTCGGACCCTTGCTTGGCTCATGGCCTGGTGGACCTGTGTTGCAGAGAGGAGAAGGAGCGCTGGATTCGGGCCAAGTACGAACAGAAGCTCTTCCTGGCCCCACTGCCGAGCTCGGATGTGCCGCTGGGTCAGCAGCTGCTCCGGGCCGTGGTGGAGGACGACCTGCGGCTGCTGGTGATGCTTCTGGCTCATGGGTCCAAGGAGGAGGTGAACGAGACCTACGGGGACGGGGACGGGCGGACGGCTCTCCATCTCTCCAGCGCCATGGCCAACGTTGTCTTCACGCAGCTGCTCATCTGGGTGAGTTGTGGGCTCCCTGCGGGCCTTTCCAGTCCCACCCTCGAGGGCTCCTCGGACCTGTCTGATCTTTTCGCTCCGGCCCTTTGAAAGCCACCTCTCCTTTTTCCCCAAGAACCCCCACCGTTCTTGCCACGTCATGCCAACTGTGACATTGTACTTTCTTCCGCAGTACGGGGTGGATGTGCGGAGCCGGGACGCCCGAGGCCTGACGCCGCTGGCCTACGCGCGTCGGGCCGGCAGCCAGGAGTGCGCAGATATCCTGATCCAGCATGGCTGTCCTGGGGAGGGCTGTGGCTTAGCACCTGCCCCCAACAGAGAGCCTGCCAACGGTACCAGCGCTTCTGCGGAGCTGCACCGAAGTCCTAGCCTTCTGTAAAGCCTGCAGGACTCCGTGGCCTGGGGCCCCTCCTCCCTCCAGGTACTGAGGGGAGCCAAGGCACAGAGACTGAGAAGCAGGGACGTGCGGAAAGGAAGGAGAGGAAATGAAGAGTCGAAGAAGAGAAGAGCTCAGCGGAGAGACAGAGGGACCAGAGGCGACATCTGGGATTTGAGCTGCCGCAGAGAGGGAGTGGAACTACTCTAGCCCTCTACCCTACGGTGCCACTGAAAAGGGACAGGACCCTTTGGAGGTACCTGTGAGGAGAGGGGAGCAGGACCTCTCCCTCCTCCAGATTCCTACCTTCTCCTGCCAGCCCCCTACAAGCCTTCATCCTAAAATGGAGCCTGGATGGACAGGGCACAAGTTGGGGGGTGCTGGAGGAAAGAGACGAGGAGGTGATCTGAGAGTCCCGTGTAAATTTGTACATTGGAATATTTATGTTTGTGTACATATCTGGTGTGTGTGTATGATGAGCCAGTAAACCAGACCGTGTGTGGCCTTGTTTTCCCCTCTTCTGTCCCCACCCTTCAGCTCTGCCTGTTTCTTTGCCCCTGTCTTCTCCTGCCTGTACTCTGGGATTGCCTTGAGTAGGTCAGTAGCACCGCCACCCCCTGGAGGGGGTTCGGAGCTCTGCGCTGCTTTCCCCTCCTCCCACACCCCGCCCCTGCCCTCCGTTACTGCCCCCCCACCAGCTGGTGTCCAGTAACCTTGTGCCACACCTGGTGCCAACCAGAGCTCACCCAGAGAGGGGACAGAAGGATCATCCCCTTTCCTAAGAGTCTGGGAACTAGCTATATAGCCAGACAGACGTCCAGGCCACAGGACCAGAATTCTGAGGATGCCATAAGGGTAAGTGGCTAGATGTTATCAGGCCAGCCCTTCTCTAGGGACCCACGCCTAGGCTTTGCTTTAGAGGAAAGGGGAGGAGGTAGGTCACTGATGGCAGAATAGCCACTTGGATTCCCAGCAACATCTTGCCAAGCTGGGGGCAGAACCCTGAGCTCCCGGTTTTCCCTTTGACTAGCCCTGATCCTAGAAAGACCTGAGGGAAACACCTTTATGCCTTTCTTGAAGGATGAGAACTTGCCAGGTTAAGGTCCCTGCTCTCTAAGGAGCTTACCTTCCATTCCTATAACCACTTTGCTGGTGGCCCTTGTTTTCTGCTGCACTTACTGAGCTGGGTGTGGCGGGGCTGGCACACTCTGGGGGCACCTGCCTGCCTATAGGGAGATAACCAGGCAAATGCTACACAGAGAGGAAACCAGACTGTATTTTCTTGATTCACAGCCCCTCTGCAAGGCCAGTAAGAGCCTTAAGCAAAAAGAAGAGCAGAATTAAACAGGGCCTTGGGTATGTATACGAATGAGTCCCTGGGCTCAGAAATTATTAGCTATAATCACTTCCTTTATTTTACCTAAGGAAAACCAGCCGCTCCAGTGGCTGAATACTGCCTGGTATAGTTTAGGAGGCTTCATAGGTAAATCCAGAGGAAAACGGTCATCAGGATCTTGGTGTCCCCCTAGCCCCCACCTGCCCTGGGGCAAAGAGCCAGAGAGTCTCCGCTCTGGCCCTAGACCTGTAGACATGAATTCCCAGCTGCCAGAGTGACAGCAGCTCCTGGGATCATCAACCACTGCCTGGCTTTACCCCCAAAAAGAATCGAACCCTGTAGGTTCCTTATCTGGGCAGAGACCACCCTAATCTAGGTCAGGAATGGGGCTGGCCTGGACGGCGTATTTTAGCCTAACGATCAAGGCTTGCTGAAATTTAGCCAAATAGAGAAGACCTGCCCTGGATCTGTGTGTCCCAGCTAGGGAGCTGTGGCGCGGTGGTGAATAAGCAGGCACAGCCCCAGGCCGCGTTCTGTTGGGTCGCCCAAACCAGGCAGGAGGAAGGGACGGCCACGGAAGGCCTGTCCGCTCGTCCGAGGCGGGCGGCAGATGCTTAGATGCTTGAGTAAGCAGTGGCTGGCAGGCCACTCCTGGAAGCGGGAGCAGCCGCCGTGTTCCAGGGGCGGTGAGGAGGCTGGCCAGGTATCTGACCCAGCTTGTGTTTCCCTCCCTGACCTTGACCTCCTGAGTCTCTTGCCCTGCCCAGAGGACTGTCCGTTTCTCCTCTGGGTGGCTCTGTTCTCTGCCCTAGCTCTCCTCCCGACTCAGCGCAGGCCACGTTTCTCCCCGGGAAGCCCTGCTTACCATGCTCCCAGCTGCGGCTGGTTCCTGTATCACTCCTCTTTCCCCCGTGTCTGCAGCCCCGCTCCACGGCTGGCCCAGGAGGGGAGCCCTTCTGCGAAAGTGGGGGAAATGGCAAATGACTTTAGTTACGGTCTTGTTTCCCCTCACAGTATACCCAAGTGCCCCTGAAGGCTCCTGACCTCACACTGACTTTGTCCGCTGAGGCGGTCCTTCGTTTGCTCTTAGAATCCCAGCCCCGAAGCTCCCAGGCCCTATCTCTGCGGCTCTCCCCACGGTACACAACCGTCCGGAACATCACACATTCGCGCCTGCCTCATCCCTTTTGCAGTGGGCCCTCTCGACCCATCTCGTTTTATAACCGAGGAGGATTTGGTATCCCAAGCTACGTGACCCACGAGATGGGGAGAAGGAGACCTCACGATTAATGCAGTAAGAACAGAACTGGAAAGGAGTCTGACTCCAGGCCCTCCCATCTGGAAGTTCCAAAAGGTTGCTGAGACGGACTCGGCTGCTGTGTCCTCTGCACGGAAGAAGGGGATTGAGCTCACTGGTGATCAGGGTGAGCCCCCAAGCTGCCCTAGTCACGGCCAGCACTGGTCACCTCTACTGAGTTAGAGCCTGGACATCCCTCCGCCAACCCAGGTCAACCACTTCGTTTCCCCTCGTGATACGAAAGGGAGCAAATCTCTCCTGATGTCTGCCAGCTCTCGCCAAGAGAAGAAAGCAGAGATGAAGAAGCTTGCCTTGTTTAATGGGGAGAGAGAAACGCTGTGGCGGGAACATGGGTCGAGAGGTGTGGACAGTGTGGGCAGCACCCCGACGGGAAGTGGAGGTAGTTGACAAGGGGAGACGGTTGTGCTGAGGGGTTCTAAGGAGGTTAGTGACAGTTTCTCTTTCTTCGTGTGCCCTGTCCGACGGACAAGACAGGCCCCAGCACGAGGCAGGTAGGTGGACCTGAACCCTGGCTGCAGATGGAGGGGACACAGTCCTTTCCCAGCCTCAGGTTCAGACAGACAGACGGAGACGGGTAGCTCCATATATACAAACTTTACAGAAAATAAATAAGGAGCTGCGATCAGCTTGGCTAGGCTTCATCCTGAATTCTCCCCACCCCTGTGAGAAGTCATTCCTGGGAAACTTCCAGGCCCTCGGCATGTTAGAACCCACCCCCTCCCCAGGAGTCCTCCTCGATCCCCACAGCTCCTCAGCATCGAGCACCCAAGCCCCTTGAACCCTGAAGCCCCCAGCCTGAGGGGCTCTGGAATAGGCTCAGGGCCCAGTGCCCGAGTCCCCGGTTGCCAGGAGAGCACACCTAACACTAGAGTCAGTGGCCGCCCGAGCCCCCCTCCCAGGGCAGGATCACAGCGGGAGCCCCTTGGGTGCACAGAACCTAACCCAGTCTCCGGGCAGGCCCGGGAACAGATGCTTTGCTTCTGAAATCCTTGGGAGCCCTTCAGGGCCGGGCCCCCTGTTCCATTTGTTGGTGCTGGCTCCGCACGGCAAACCTGTTGACGTGCACAGGAATGGGGACGACAATCTTGGGGTTTCTCACGGGCTCCCCGGAGCGGCTGCTCACGTTGCCGGCTTTGATGCGCTTCCACTTGGCGCGCCGGTTCTGAAACCAGATCTTGACCTGCACCTCGCTGAGCTTGAGCGCGTGAGCGATCTGGGACCGCTCTGTCAGGCTCAGGTATTTCTTGCAATGAAACTCCTTCTCCAGCTCCAAAAGCTGCTCGCTGGTGAAGGCTGTGCGGCGCCTGCGGCTTTTGCCCCCCGGAGCTGTGACTCCTGCGGCCACCGGTGCCCCCTCCTCCGCGCCAGTCCCCAGGCTTCCCTTTAGCTTCGGTTTAGGTCCCAGGAGAGCCGCGGGGCCCCCTGCAGAACTGTCCAGGAATCCGTCGTCTTCGCTGTCACCGCCCGAGCCCTCTTCCTCCTGCTCGCTGCCTGCTGGGTCTCCTGCTCGGGCCTCTGGCTTCTCCTCGTCGGAGCTGTACACCTTCCCCTCTGCTGCGGGGAGTGAAAACCAACAGATGGGCAAGGAGCAGGCGAGGAAAAGGCAGGCAGGTTGGAGGAGGCACGTGGAACCATGGCCAGGCACGGACAGAACGGCAGCAGGAAGAGAGAGACAAGGAAGGGATGCGATGGGGAGGAGGGGAGACGAGGACAGCACATCCAGGATATGGGGTGGGGAAGAGGTTCAGGGAAGACAAAGAAATGGAAAGAAAGGTATTAACCAGCATAGATTTCACTGTAACAGGTGCGGGGAGGGGCGGTCAGTGTACATCAAAGGGATGCTACTCCCCGGCTTCAACTTCACTGTCACCCACCTCATTTTCCCGACCCACGAGCCTTCCCAGCTTTCTCCAAACCCTGGGCCAAGGGCTTTTCACTCACTTGCCACCCTTCCAGATCCAGACAGCATGGGTCCCAGAGTCAAGCAGTGTGGGCCTGGCTCTCAGCCTTCCTGCTGCTCTAGGCAGGACGCAGTGCTCACGTAGGGTAGACGGGGAGATCACGCTGCCGGCCTGTTACTCTCCTGGGGACCCTCACCTGCCCCGGGCTTGAGCTCTGCTCTGGCTTCTGGCTTCCCACTTCCCCTCTTCCCTAGATCCAGAATCTTAGAATCTCATTTCCAGATGGAAACTTAAGGGTCTTCTGATTCCCCATTCTCACCAGCCCCGCCACGGTGAATCTGGGCCCAAGAAATGTTACCAAGGGATTCGGGTGGGTCCTTACCCTACTTCCGGTTGTCCTTGACCAACCCAGCCCGCGCAGAAGGGCGCGCCCTCCCAGCGGCAGGCCGCCCGCCCCTGCGCACAGCTTCTCCCCGGGCCTCGGCTCTCCTAGGCCCCTTGCAGTCTCCCCTCCTCAACCGTCAAATGACATCTGTCTCCCAACCAGGACGCAGGAGCAGCACACACAGCTGCTTTCTGCTCAAGTTCCCAATCCAGAGGCCCCTGAGCTTGATGTCAGCAGGACGAACTGGAGGGAAGGTGGCAGACGGTAAAGAACGAGAAGGGCAACAAGGGAAACAGAGAGGAAAACGGTAGAGGAAATCTGACTCACTTGGTAGATGACTGATTACAATCACAGCCATAGCCGATGTTTTACATCTATATGTAACTCTAATACTTAATTCAGTCATCAGTTTTAATCTCATCCGCGGACAGTTCTGTCAGAACGGCAAGGGACGGATCGCCAACGTTTTCAGCAGCAGAGTCGTACAGCTGCCTTGTTTTCTGCCCAAAGAGCCAATAAGCAACGAAGAAAAGTCAGAAGGAAACTGGCCAGAAGGGAAGCAAACAAGAGGAACTAGGCGAGCGGGACACCAACGAGTCAGCTCGCTGCCCCGGAGCTCACGGTGTGAAGGGGCTGGGGTTTCCCCAGGGCGGAGCGCCTCTGTCTATAACCACCGCGCCTTGCCCGGACCGGGGGCGAGAAACAACCCGAAGTAAAAGAACTTCAGGGAACAGTGAGATGCCCTATAAGAGGAGCAGGCCGTGCGCTCTGAACACCTTCCAGCCCCCTCTCCAAGTGCCTGTGCTCCAGAAGGAGCATCTCGGGGTCTCCAGGACCAGCCCAGGAGCTCTCCCCAACCCAAAGCCCCTTCCCCTTCCCGGACGCCAGCAAGTCACACCCCGTCCCGGTCCTAGAGCCTGTTCACACCTCCCGAGAGGCCAGACTTCTCAGCCCACGTCCAGACCGCCCACCTCCCTCACTCAGCGTCCTTCACACCTCAAGGGTATTTTTATCCCCAGCCCCTGCCTTTTGTTCCTGTAGCGCTTCCTTTATTTAATTTCAAAATCCGCGTGGCGCGCCCTGCGCCCTCGTTTAGGCTCCTGCAGCCTACCCCTCCCTGCCCTGCCTCCGCGAGTGCTCTCCGCTCCCTCTGGCAGCTTCCGCGAGACATGGCCGTCCGTCCGTCCCTTGGTCTGTCTGCAGAGGTTGCTTCTTGCCATCCATCCCGCGCTTCCTCCCAGACCTCATTCCACCCAAACCCGTTGTTTTCTGCAGGAGTCACATCCTCGGTTCTTTCCCTCATTAACAACTCCTCCCCACGCTATCTTCCATTTTCACAGAACTCAGACTTGACATGTCCCAAACAGAACTCCTGACGCCCTTCCCAGCTTGGTCAGTGGGAATCCCATCCTCCTTGTTCCAATCAGGCTTCACTCCTCTCTCTCACAACCCGTCCCCACTCCCCGAGCCCGTCCCCACTCACGGAGTCCCCTGCATCCGACAGTCCCGGTCACCATCATGTCCCGCCTGGTTCATCCACCTGTTCTCCAAACTGGCTTCCCTGCTCTTGTCCTCACCTGCCCTCCCCTGCCCTCCCCTGCCCCTGCTCTCCTCTCCCCTGCTCTTTCCCCAGATGATTCTTCTGTTCAGAATACTACGCTGCCCACCTAGATTTCAGCATTCGCTCATTCCTTGTCTCCCTCAGGTCTGTACTTCACCAAGATGTTCCCCGATCATCCTCTTAGAATGAAAACCCCCAGTACTTCTATCTTCCTTTTCTGCTTTGTAATGATAGTACACATCACCCACATTATTCATTTATTTAATTGGCTGTCTTTTCCTATTAGAATATGAGCTTCATGAAGGTAGGGAGTTTTAATATATTTTTTCACTGCTGTGTCTTCATCTAGAAAATCATCTGCCCAGAGTAGGCACTCAATATATTGCTGACTTGTTGACTAAAAAACTATTCCCAAACACACTCTCTCTCCCTTCCTCCTTTTCTCTCCGTCTTCTGTCCCCACCTCTGTTCTTCCTTTCCCAAGCCTCTCCTAAAATAGTCCGCACAGCCTCCGCCCTCCAGCGCCCAGAAGACATTGTCTCCATGAGTATCACTCTACCCACTTTCCAGTATGACCTCTGATCTCACGTTAGCTGGGCAGAAGCCCACATGCAGTGGGGATCTATAGGATCTTATGCTAAAAGAAAGAAAGGGAAATCCTTCACATCACTGCTAAATCCTTTCAATTTTTAGAACCCAGTACATAACAAAAAAGAAGAAGAAAATCTTGTAAAAACTCAGTCCAGTATTACATATTCTAAACAGCTGCTAAAAAGGCAGAAACTAGATTTCGGGGCTTGAAGGATGAAACCATTTAGCACAGCTCCGAGCACCCAGGGGGTGTCCAATAAATCTCACCGACGATGACTGAGATGGGGTCCCAGGCTCCTGGATCCAGCAGGGCCCTCCCGGGATCATACCATTCATCCCTCTGTCTTCAGACAGATTCCATAAAATCAAGCCCACAGAAGCAGACCTCCCTCAGCGCTGCTTTCAAAGCCATACAAGGGACACAGGTCCACAACCTCTCCTGGTTACTTGATCCCGGTGGGAGGCCGAACGGCAGGGGCAAGAGTTTCTCTCTGAGCCTTTATGATCATGACACTGAGGGCTCTGATAAGTAACTCGTGGAAGGAGGTGGGAGTGGGGCGATGCGGGAAAACAACCAGGAGGGAGAAATACAGCTACGCCCTCCAAGGAGAGGGTCTGGGGCAGTGAGGGACACTGAGATGTGGGAAAGAAAGGGCCAAAGCAGGCAGGAAGAGGACTGGGGCAGGAGACAAGTGGTAGGAGAATGAAATGATGAGTCAGAGAAACTGAAGGGGCTGGAAAGTTTAGAGAAGGGCTAGAAAATAGGGGGGAAAATCAGAGAAAAAGAGAGCAAAAAGCTTAAAAACAAAACAAGAAAAATCACACCCCCTACCTTCCTTCCACCAAGATGGAGCACTTTAAGCCACAATTGACACCCGAAGAGGACACATGCTCAGCGGAATCAGACAGACCCTGCAGTAGCCCAGTCCGTAACAATATAGCGATCCCGAAATGGCTTACTGTTTTCTTATGGACTAGCTACAAAATAAATGCAAGCTACTTTCTTTTATCTGAATTGTAATGAATATTAATAGTAAATATAATCAAACAAAATAAAACAAAAATTGCACACAGAAAACTGTGTTGACTAAAAACTGATGGAAGCAAATCTTTCTGATAAAATTTCTAATTGCAAAATTTGATTTAGAATAATTGGACTTGGTAGATATAATGTCCATAAAAGCAAATTACTAATTGCAGATGCTATAATTGGTTGATATGAGGGGGAAAAAAAAAAAACCTTGATCTGCAAAATGAGGCTTCATTGAAAATTCTACATGGGAAAGGATTCTGATGAGAATAATTTTTAGCAAAAGGAACATTTTTAAACTGGAAACAATTTGACTATGTATATAGGTAGGCCAAACAGATAGGAAGGTTCTGTTCTCTGTGTGTGAAGATGAGGTTATTGGTAATATAAGAAAATGTTGAGTTTTCAGCTTGTTCCTTAGGTGTCGAGAGTCTCAGAGAAGTGCGGTATCTATCCACGGGGAATGAGCGTGGGGGAGACTGTTACCAGGAAACATCTAGTGTTCTTGTGACTTCTCACAGGGGACGCTATTACCCCGAGAACCAAAAACCACCAGGTCTGCCCCATGGTTGTCAGGTCCTGCCTGGGGCACCTTCCCACGTCCAGAGAGCGATACTTAGGCTCCAGGGATACACAAGGCGTGGGGCCTTGTTTCCAAGAGGACGGGAAGCAGCACCAGAGAGCTAGAAAAGCCCATCTCGCGAATGGATCTGGTTAGGCTGGGGAAGAAATCAAGGGCCACAGAATCCATGGTAGGTATTCTCCAGGAGAAACAATAAATAGCACCAGATTTGCACCATCTAGAGGGGGAGTCCACAGCTGTGGTCACCAAGAACAGTGGGCCCGGGTTGTGGTGCAGAAAACCACTTTAGACTCCCAGCTTTGGGAACCCACCGAGCCCCTGCACTGCCCCTCATTCATCCTCTCCTGTTTTAGCTTCTATAAAATCAACAGCCTTCACTATCCATGGAAGAGAAGTCTCCCCCTACCCCTGTTACACTTGGTTTTGACTTCTCTTCCCTCTACTTCCAATACGACTCCCCCCTCACCCTCCCCGAACTACTGTCAGGACCATAAGTCTCCCCC